GCAAGCGATATAGCCATTACGCTAACTGCTGGTCCCCCCAGCATGATTTTCAAGCCACCGGATCCAGACCTCGAACCATGCAGTTGGCCATGTGGGATCCAGCTGCCTTAACCACCGTGCCACCTGCTGGCCCTGAACTTATATTTTCATTTCACTTTTCCACAGACATTTGAAGTCCCCCCATACACGTATATGAGTATGCGGTTAAGGGATGCAACCACAGAATCCACCGAATTTAGTTCAGACACATTCCGGGGCATCTCCTAAAACGACACAACCCGTCAGGAGTACCGTCTCAGGGCAGGTATACCAAATCTTCCTTGCTTTTAATTTTTTTAAAGAATTATTCTATTTCACTTTATTTTCATTTGACCAGAGAGGGAGGGGGAGAGAGGGAAAGGGAGAGGGAGAGGGAGAGAGAGAGAGAGGAAAAGTGAGAATGCAAGCCGCCAGGTCGGGGACTCAAACCATAGTCAGCCATGTGGGAGTCCAGCGCCCTTAACCACCATACCACTTCCTTATTTCATATGATTAAGTGAAACACTATGAGGGGGCTTCATGAAGTGTGTTGAAAAGTGGAAATAAAGTATGAGTTTATTCTAGTGCAAGACCAAATCGCCCCCAGGGGGGATGGCCACACCGCAATCCCTTCTCCACTCTCCTCTTGGGAATTTGGGCACACATGCACGCACGCCTGGTGTGAGTTACAAGCCACCGGGTCCAGGACTCAAACCGCAGTTGGCCATGTGAGATCCAGCACCTTAACCACCACGTCACCTGCTGGCCCTAATGGAGCCTTTTTTTTTTGGTAGGTTTTCACAATAGGGCATGTGTGCTCACTGGAGAGAGATAGAAAGCAAGAGAAGTGAGAGATCACTTCCCAGGGCGTTGGCCATGCTGGAATTTCTCGTCCTCTATACTCCTCTCGGATTTTGGGCACATAAGCACATGCGCCCAGCTGTTCAGATCCAGGACTTGAACTGTGGTCAGCCATATGAGAGTCCAGTGCCTTGATCACCAGGCCACTCCTGGCCTTAAAATACGCTTTGTTGTTGTTGTTGTTGTTTTTAGGCTTTTGCCAAAGGACATGTGCACTTGCCAGAGAAAGAGAGAGAGAACAAAGGAAAGTGAGAAATCACCCCCCAGCAGGGATGGCCACCTGCAGCCCCTTCTCCTCCATTCTCCTCCAGGGATTTTGGGCATGCACGCACACACGCCTGGCGTGAGTTTAAGCCACCGGGTCCGGGATGCGAACTGCAGTCGACTACATGGGAGTCCAGCGACACAGCCATTACGCTAACTGCTGGTCCCCCCACAAATAAATCTTTAAAGAATTTCACTGGGACCAGCAGGGGGCATGGCGGTTAAGCGTGCTAGGCTCCCACGTGGCCAACCACGGTTCGAATCCCAGACCTGGTGGCTTGCTTTCTCTGGTCCCCTCTCTCTGTGTGTCTCTCTCACTCTGTCTCTCTCTGGTCAGATAGAAAGAAAGATAAATAAATAAATAAATAAATAAGTAAATAAATAAAGTTAGTTAAATGAAATAATTCTTAAAACAAAACAAGAGAACTCTTTAAAAAAAAAAAAAAGATTTGTGCTGGGCCACAGCTCAGTCTCCGACAGTAACACAGCTGCAGGTCTGGGAGGTGAGAATGTGAACATTCTGTGGGGAGGGTCCACAGCTCTGGGTGCAACGCCCAGCGAGGTCACAAGGGCACCTGTGACCTCATCTCCATGTGGTAGCTGGAGAGAGAAACAACCCCCCAAGGTGAACCCAGGTGCGCTAACATCTAGCTGCCATGAAATCCCAGCCTGAGGAAGCCCAGAAGCCTTGCTCGGGGGTCCAGACCCTGCTGAAGAGGGTCAAGGCCTTGCTCACCAAAGCCCCACCCCCGCCTCCTCCGCCTCCACCTTCGAAAGCCCAGCCTGAGGAAGCCCAGAAGCCTTGCTCGGGGGTCCAGACCCTGCTGAAGAGGGTCAAGGCCTTGCTCACCAAAGCCCCACCCCCGCCTCCTCCGCCTCCACCTTCACCTCCACCCCCGCCCTCGCCCCCTGCCCGCAGCTCAGGCTGCTCACACGTGTATGGGTATGTGTTTGGGCACGTGCGTGAAAGCCACCTGGGACACCTCCCAACGCAGCAGGTGAGTTTGGGAACCACGGGTCTCCCAGATGCCCGGCCTGGATGGCAGGGAGAAGGCCACGCTGCCCGGTCCCTCTGCAGAGCCCACAACCTTCCAAGGGGCCCTCGGGTTCCACCCCGAAGCAGGGCAAAGGAGGGGTCCAGGGTGTGTCTCTCCCCGGGGAGACTTCAGGAGACACACCCAGAGTACACCTCCAGCCCGGCTGAGGTCTGTCCCGCAGGTGCTGGACACGGGAGAACAGCTGATGGTCCCCATGGAGGTCCTGAAGGTGGACAACGAGGGGGCCTTGTGGAAGTTTCTGCTCTCAGGAGCCATGGCCGGAGCGGTGTCTCGCACGGGTACGGCCCCTCTGGACCGCGCCAAGGTGTACATGCAGGTGTGCGTGGGGTGGGGGGCATGGCGCTGGGGCCGCTGGGGTCAGTGCGGCGTGGGGGTGGATGGACGTACCCTTGAGCGAGTTCAGGGTGGGAGGGTGGGGTCGGAGCTGGGCAGGAGGCTGAGTGTGGAAGTGGGGCTGGGGTTGGCGTCGGGGCTCTCGTGAGGGAGCATTGAGACTGGAGTTGTGGATGACCAAGGAGCTGAAGTGGACCGGGCAGGCTGCTCTGGGGAGGGAGAAGAGAGAAGGGTACTAGAGACAGGCTCCAACCCTAGCCAGCAGTTGGCGTAGTGGTTAAGGCTCTGGACTCCCACATGGTGGACCACGGTTCAAGTTGTGGGCCACGGTTCAAGTCTTGGACCAGGCAGCTTGAAACTCACGCCAGGCATGTGTGCATGCATACCCAAGATCCCGAGAGGAGAATGGAGACGGGATTGCGGGGTGGCCATCCCTGCTGGGGGCGGAGGGGGGGGTGATTGCTCACTTTCTGTCTCTCTCTCTCTCTCTGTCTCTCTGGTGAGTCCTATAGCAAAAAGTCTCTATAAAAATGAAAAAGAAGACAAAATAGGACCGAGGGATGAGGACGATGAGGGAGAGATAGACCTATGGGTGGGAGCTGGCGTTGTGTCTGTCCCGGGGTCTGTCCCAGGACTGGCCAGGGAAGGAGCTGGAGAAGCAATGGGGTGGAGCCGCTGGCTGGGCCAGTGCAGGACTGGGCAGGGCCAGGCTCCAAGCTGGGCTTGGCGAGAGAGTGGGGGGCTCCTCTCAGAGCCAGGGCTCCCCCCAGGTCTACTCGTCCAAGACGAACTTCACGAACCTGCTGGAAGGGCTACGGACCATGGTCCAGGAGGGCGGCTTCCGCTCCCTGTGGCGGGGCAACGGCATCAATGTCCTCAAGATCGCCCCCGAGTACGCCATCAAGTTCTCTGTCTTTGAGCAGGTGGGGGCCCGCCGTCTGCCCCCCAGAATCCACACTGCCGCCCCGCCCCCGGGGGGGCTTCTCTAGGAAGGTGGCTGGCTTCCCTCACACGCCTCTCTCCTGTCCCAGTGTAAGAATTACTTCTGTGGGGTCCAGGGATCCCCACCCTTTCAGGAACGTCTCCTCGCGGGCTCTCTGGCCGTGGCCACCTCCCAGACGCTCATCAACCCCATGGAGGTAAGCGAACGCGGGCCCACGCGGGAGCCGAGAAGCCAGGTGGAGACAAGCACCAGCGGCAGCTGCTGCTTCCTCCTCCCCTCTTCCTCTTCCTGGGGGATGAGAGATGCATCAGACCAGACCCTTCTTCTTTTTTAAGTTTGCTAGAGGGTTGGGACCAGCAGTTGGCGAAACAGCTGTCACTGGACTCCCATGTAGCCGACCGTGCTTCGAGTCCCAGACCCGGTGGCTTAAACTCACGCCGGGGGCGTGTGCGTGCGTGCCCAAGACCCCATTCTCCTTTCCCTATCTCTCTCTCTTTCTCACTCTATCCCTTTCCTGTCAAATTAAAAATAAATAAATAAAGTTAAACGAAATAATGGAAAAATAACAATAGTAATCATTAAAATAACTAAGCAGAGCGCAGGGGAGGGTTGTGTAGGTGAAGTGCAAACACCACCCTTTAAGGTAAGAACTTGAGCTCTGATCTGAGTATTGATGGGGTCCCGACCCCATCCCTTTACTCCTCCTGACCCCATGGGACCACTGGACCTTAGATTTCACAGGGGTCCTCATTATATCTGCAACATCCTGTCGCCTATGCCTGCTAACCAAACCCACTCGGAGGGTGGCAGCCCGTCATGAGACAAGATCTCGTCCCTGCGGTTCGAGGCATGATCCGTGGCATGTGTGTGGCGGAGGGTGTCTTGGGGACCACGCTGGAATGGGTATTCTGTATTGTTTTTTTTAATAGAGATTTTTGCTCTAAGGCAAGTATGTTCACCGGAGAGACAGAGAGACAGAAAGCTAGAAACCAACCCCTGGAGGGATGGCCATGCCGCAATCCCTTCTCCTCCATTGTCCTCTTGGAATCTCTCTGTCTCTCTCTCTCTCTCTTTCTGGAGAGCGCATGTACCCTATAGCAAAAGCCTCTCAAAAAAAAAAAAAGTAAAAAAAATTATTATTTTATTTACCTTCATTATTTATTTAATTAAATCTGACCAGAGAGAAACAGAGCAAGCTAGAGACAGAGCGGAAAGTGAGAAAGCAAGCCACCAGGTCTGGGACTTGAACCGTGGTCAGCCATGTGGGAGTCCGGAGCCCTTAATCACCATGCCACCTGCTGGTCCCTCGGGCATGAGTTTTAAGCCACCAAGTCCGGGACTTGAACTGCCGTCGACTACGTAGGAGTCCAGTGATGTAATCATTACGCCGCCTGCTGATTCCATGTTTTATTTTATTATCATTTTTTAATTTGTCCGGAGAGAGGGAAAGTGAAAAGGCAAGCCACCAGGCCCAGGACTCGAACCGTGGTCGGCTATGTGGGAATTCAGTGCTTTCACCACCACACCACTTGCCAGTTCCTCATCAGGGTTTCTCTCACCCCCTCTTTCTCTTGGCCTCGTCAGGATTTGAGCTTTGGCACTGGACAGCCCGGGGGTCCAAAGCCCAGGTGGTGGCCTTCCTGGGTCAGCGTCCTCCTCTGTAGCGTGGGGACAATGGTCGCTTCTGGGGGGCGCCAAGAGCATTAGGTCAAATGTGCTGCCTCGCTCCTCGCCCTCCCCAGGTGCTGAAGACGCGGCTGACCCTGCGCCGGACAGGCCAGTACAAGGGGCTGCTGGGCTGTGCGAGGCGGATCCTGGCCCAGGAAGGCACCAGGGCCTTCTACCGGGGCTACCTGCCCAACATGCTGGGCATCGTCCCCTACGCCTGCACTGACCTGGCCGTCTATGAGGTGCGGGTCCCGCCGAGGGGGTGGCACAGGTGGCCTGAGTCAAGGCCACGGCGAGCTTCCTCCGGCCTCCCTCCTCCTCCAGATGCTGCAGTGTTTGTGGCAGAAGTCAGGCAGGGACACGGAAGACCCCAGGGGCCTGGTCAGCCTGTCCTCCGTGACGCTGTCCACAACCTGCGGCCAGATGGCCAGCTACCCCCTGACTCTGGTACGGACCAGGATGCAGGCCCAAGGTCAGTCCAGCCCTCCTGGCCGCCGCGTGAGCCCTTCCCTACCCCAGCCCCGCTCTCTGGATTTTCTCATGCCCCAAAACGGACTCCTAAACTCTCTATAGCTGTCCCCTTTGCTGGCCCTTGTACTGGTCAGGATTGCCCTTGCAGTGGTCAGGATTAACCATACTCAGGGCCGGCAAGTTGTGTAGTGGTTAAGGGCACTGGATTTACACATAGTTCGAGCCCCAGACCTGGCAGCTTCCTTTCTCACTTTCCCTCCCTCCCTCTCTCTGGTGAATGCACATGCCCTATGACAAATTAATAAATAAATTAAGTAAGTTTTTAAAAGGATTGAGACCGGCAGGTAGTGTGGTGGTTGAAGGCGCTGGATTCTAATATGACCGACCACAGTTCAAGTCCCAGACCTGGTGGCTTGTATTCTTGCTTTCCCAAACCTCTCTCTCTTTCTCTCTCTCTCTCACTCTCTCTGGTCAAATTTTTAAAAATAACAGTATCAAATGGAATTAAATAAATAAATAAATCTTAAAAAAAAAAAAAGAGAGATTGATTATACTCATCCCCAAATCCAATCCCAGCCCTCAAATGGACCCTTAAAATACTGCTATATAAAAAAAAAAAGGGACCAGCAGTTAGCGTAATGGCTATGTCGCTGGACTCCCACGTAGTCTACCGCAGTTCGAGTCCCAGACCCAGTGACTTAAACTCACGCTGGGTGCGTATGCGTGTGTGCCCAAGATCCCGAGAGGAGAATGGAGGAGAAGGGATTGTGGCATGGCTATCCCCCCTGGGGGGTGATTTCTCGCTTTCTATCTCTCTGTCTCTCTCTGTCTTTCTGGCGAGCGCATACGCCCTATAGCGAAAAACTTCTCCAAAAAAAAGAAAATACTGCTCTGACAGGACTGGTAGTATGGTGGTTAAGGCAGCTGGATCACACATGATCAACTACACAGTTCAAGTCCCAGACCCAGTGACTTTTTGGAGAGGTTTTTGCTATAGGGCGCATGCGCTTGCCAGAAAGACAGAGAGAGACAGAGAGACAGAGAGAAAGCGAGAAATCACCCCCCAGGGGGATGGCCACGCCACATTCCCTTCTCCTCCATTCTCCTCTTGGGATTTTGGGCACGCACCCACACGCACCCAACATGAGCCTTAAACTACTGAGTCTGGGACTGGAACCATGGCTGGCTGCGCGGCAGTGCAGTGATGTAACCGTTATGCCAGCTGCTGGTCTTGCATTCTGGAGTGTTGTTTTTCAAGCTGCCAGGACCAGGACTCCAGCCACACAGTCAGCCGTGTATGACCAGGGGCCTTAACCACAGTGCCACCTGGCTGGCCCATCACCTTGACCTTGAAAACGTCCCTGATGGGACCAGCAGTTAGCGTAATGGCTATGTCGCTGGACTTCCACGTAGTCGACCGCGGTTCAAGTCCCAGGCCTGGTGGCTTAAACTCACGCCAGGCACGTGTGCGTGTGTGCCCAAGATCCCAAGAGGAGAATGGAGGAGAAGGGATTGCGGCATGGCCATCCCCCCTGGGGGGTGATTTCTCGCTTTCTGTCTCTCTGTCTCTGTCTGTCTGGTGAGCGCACGCACCCTATAGCAAAAAAAAACCTCTCCAAAAAAAAAAAAAAAGAAAATGTCCCTGAGCTACCCCTGGGCATACTCCCTAAATCTCAGATGTTCCCTCCCCAATGAGTTCTAAAGTTTTCTTTCTTTTGGTGGGGGCGGGGGAGTGGTATTTGTATAGGGCATATGTGCTTGCCAGAAAGATGGACATAAAGCGAGAAATCACCCCAGGTGTGGGGTGGGTGGTGGCCACGCCACAATCCCTTCTCTTTCCATTCTCTTCTTGGGATCTTGGGCACGCACGCACATGCGCCCGGTGTGAGTTTAAGCCACCAGGTCCGGGAGTCGAACTGCAGTCAACTACATGGGAGTCCAGCGACATAGCCATTATGCCATCTGCTGGTCCCAAATTCTAATGTTTTCTATGATGTCCCCTAAAACAGCTCCATAAACTCGTACACAATTGATCCTCTCACTTTTCCCCCCCACACTGGCCAACTTCCTTACTTAAAAAAAAAAATCCTTAACTTTATTGGTTATTGCTATTATTATCATTATTATTTTAATTTGCTATAGGACACGTGAGCTCACCAGAGAGACAGTGAGGGAAAGTGAGAAGGCAAGCTGTCAGGTCCAGGACTCCAACTACAGTCTGCCATGCAGGAATCCAGCACCCTAACCACCATGCCACCTGCTGGCAAAAATCTCCTAAATTTACCAACTAAGCTCTGAACCCTTGTCCCTGGCTTCAGTGCCACCTCCCACCCACCACCCACCCCCAAACATTCCAGCATCCCAGGAGGCCAGGCCATGTCTGGCCAAGTCCTGAGCTTGCCTCTGTTCCTTGCAGACACTGTGGAGGGCTCGAATCCCACCATGCGAGGAATCTTTCGGAGGATCCTGGCCCAGCAGGGTTGGCCTGGCCTGTACCGAGGCATGACCCCCACATTACTGAAGGTATTGCCAGCAGGTGGCATCAGCTATGTGGTGTACGAAGCTATGAAGAAAACCTTGGGCGTATAAGCCATGAACTAGACCACACGCCCTGGGGCAGAGATGGGACAGGAGGACCCAGTGTCTCTGGCCTCCAAGAGCCCTCCAGGCTCAGGCCCTGGGACAGCCTGGGGTGGCAAAAGCAGGCGAGGGTCTTGGATCAGAGGACTCCTGGGGTCCCCTCTGTAAGGGTGCCGCCTGGGACTCGAGTTTCGACTCTAGTCTGGCTTCCTACGGCTGGTCCTGGCCCCGAAGGGAAATGATGAACACGCAAACAATCAAGAATAAAGAGATGACATTTTCTTGGACATGTTTGGGATCTCTTGACTCAAGAGGGGATCTGCGGGCACTAGAGGGGTAGGAGGGGCAGTGTCTCAGTCCCGGATGGGAATGAGAGCCTGGATGACGCCAGGGTCAAGGAGGAAAGCTGAGGACACAGGAGGAAAGCTTGGGGCTCAGATCCCCCCTTATGTGAAGGAAATGGGTGTGGAATTAGGGGCTGGGAGGTCCTTGGAGGGAACTTGCCCAGCTCTAGCCTTTTTGAGTTTAGGAGAGGAGGTGGTTCCATTAGTTCTGGAAGAGAAGCGGGAGCTCTAGGTTTAGGGGTCGCCAGAAGAAAAGGGGGTTCAGGGAACCCTTGGTTTCCTTCCCAATCTTGGGCTACCCCACCTCCGGAAGCACCAGATCTCTCAGGCTTCAAGCCGGCCACGTGCCGGCCTACCTAATCAGGCTCCTGGGGCGCTAACCCAGACATCAAGCCTGAGTTTGGGCACCCGTAGCCACCTCCCACGTCGGCTGCCATTCACTCTCATTCCCGCTAATCCCTACTCGCCGTCTGACCGCCGGCTCCGCCCCAATGCAGCTACACTTCCACTGGCTCCCACCAAAACTAGGCAGCCTTATTCCCTTCACTGCCATTTACCCAAAGCGCCGTCAGTCTCCTAACACCCGCCCCTCTCGCTCACCCATTGGTTCAGGCGTCAGGGCTAGAAAAGGATTCTGGTTAACAAGGAAAGCGATCAAGTCCAAATCTAACCTCATCGCCCAGAAGTCGTCAGGGATTGGATTAAGTTGGCTGCCAATCTTTACAAGCACCGCCTTCCGCGTGTAGTCATTGGCTTTCGTGCTCCACTAGCCCGTCCAAAGGGGTCTTTCGCTAGGCCCGTCTTTCCAGCCCACGTGATTCTTCGGAGCCGTCAATCTGGTTCTGAAGCCGCCCCGCGAATCTGGAAGTCGAGCTTCATTGGCGCCGCTGCGTCCGCGGATAGCCTCAATTTACCCGCCCAGCGCCGGCAGCCTGCAGCCCATTGCCTCTGAGAGCTGTCGGTCACGCACAGCCTCCCGCCTACTGCCTCTTGCTGCACTTCGATTC